GCGTCGTAGTAGTCGTCGGCGTCGTAGTAGTCGTCGGCGTCGTAGTAGTCGTCGGCGTCGTAGTAGTAGTAGTAGTAGTAGTAGCAGCAGCGCTCGAGAGGGTGGAAGTATACAATATTTTGAAGGAAGCTGCCGTGGAACAAAAGAGCCACTGAAAAGTTCATGAGCTGGCAAAGATGCTGGGACATCGAAGAGGCAGGGAAGTGGACATCTCCTATATTATTTCAGTAGTATATATACCTTTTGCGGCTCTGACACGCAACCGATCTTTATAAATGAGATCTCTACAGAAAGAGAATTTCATGGAGACGTGTCGAGTTTCTATTATACTTTAAAAATATGAAGGATTTGTTTTAAAACCGTATCTAAATATTCACGTCAAATGCAACCCGCAGCACTAAAGTCAGGAATATGGTTAAATAACTCCTAAACAAAGCGTTCTAGGGCTTTAAAAACTAAAATTTTGAGACTAAGAGTCTTAAAGAATCGTTTCTCAGATCGTGATCTATGAGGATATATTCCTAGACATTCTATTGATTTTTTGCTGGTCCGGCACTTATCGATACTACCAATGCCACCTAGATTTCAACCCTTGGTGATGGTGGCTATCTTTGTAACGTCACGCTTAGAAGGCTTTATATTCTTCTATCTTATACTAGTTATCCGTTCTGTGTACACTGTGGTTCGCGTATACTGACGAGATTTATTTGCATAATTATTAATTCAAGATTTGCTCTCGCAACAACTAGAAGTACTATTAATAGTTGTTTGATACCTATGAATATTATTTCTTATGCAGGTAGTGATTCATATAACGTTTTGTAGAGATCTACAAGTGCTGTGTACCTAATTGTGGAGGGATGTGGGTGTACAGTGAAGAGTGAAGTCGTGTCTTGTTAGGTTTGGTTTCTGTTTTACCTCTACCAGTACTTTCGTTATCGGCAGTGATTCAGTAATACTTTCAAGTCAGCGTGTTCAGTCACATACATTTCTCAAGAGAAAATCTTTGATATTTAATATTTTTGTGACTATCACAAAAGCCAACTAATAATTGAATAATATTGAATAACATCAAATATTTTCAAGGGAGTGTTGTGAATTGTTCCAAGAAATGTCTCTAAAATACTTCACAAATCTTCAGTGAAAATTTCTATTCCACATCAAGTGCATTGTTTTTCTAATTTATATTTCATATTGTGTTAGTACAATGGAAGTTACCTTTATTCATTTTTAAATAAATAAACACGTTTTGTTAGCTTTCTCTCTTAGAATGGAAATAGAAGGATAGGGAAGAGAGTGGGATTAAAATGAAAAGAGTTCTCGCATAGGGTATGTTGTGCTATGGCACAACACAAAGAACAAACTTTTTACTACAATATTATGTGAATTAATTTAAAAAAGCGACCAAATTTAAAATAAAAAAGGAATAGCACAAGTCATATGATAACTGCTAACGATCACAATCCAGACGCACAATTTAAATGTTTTCGATATCTGGAAGTCTGTACATCAATGCCCAGCTGTAAATTCATACTGTAAATAATACACTGTTTGATATTACACTTAAGGTGTAGGTTCGCTAAGATTAATATAAAATATGAAAACATTGTTTGCATATTTTATACATACAATATTATATACATATTATATATACAATATTATATATACATACAATATTGTATACATATTATATATGTAAAAATCGTTTCAGCAACATTCCCATGTACCTAAGTGAAGTCTAAGAGTACAGAATTATTTCTAATGGTAACAAATGGTACTCAAAGGTGGAAATATTGGTTTTATAATTGTTTGGCTCTGAATTGCTTTTCTTGAAGTAAGAACGCAGAAAATAATCCAATATTTTTTACAAATAATTTTTCAATGTTTGCACACCAGGAAGCTGGCACCCTGCCCCTTCAAAACTCGCTGTGTTCCTCATAACAAATCCAAGAAAGTTAAATAATATTGCAAAGATGAGGGTTGTACTTGCCCGATCCTGTATTTTTGCAAGGAAAACTTTACTTGGCTTTCTCAAGAGTAAAAATGTTTTCTAATATTTTTGTGACTATCAAGAAAAGCAAAAAACTGTCAAAGAACTTCAAATGGTTTTAAAGAAGTGTGAATTGTTCAAAAAACATATCTCATTAATACTGAATAAACCTTTATTGAAAATTTGTTTCCAACGTCCATTTGAATTTTTTATTTTCGTTTGATATTGTGTAAGTACAAAGTTACATTTATACATTTTTTTAAAAAATAAACATGTTTCATTAACACCTTTCCTTCTTAATGGAAAGGATAGAGAAATGGATAGGGAAAGGGTGGGGATTAACATGCGAGAGTTCTCACAGGTATGCTAGTATAAATTAATTCCACAACTGACCAAAGGACAGAGGGGACATAAAGGCAGCTGAACTACTATCTAATCCAGGTATTGAGAGGACATGGTGACTTTTACAAATATCTACACTGCTTTGGTCACCGACGGGATGCCATGAGTGGATATTGTCAGATAGATGAAGCAAAGCATCTTTGCCATGTGCAGAACCAGGGGAACAGAAAGTAGAGCACTAGAGGATCAGATAGGAGCCCAATTCATGTCCAGCAACAGGTTAACACAACCGGTGAAAAATAAAAAAAATGTTGACATGAATTGAAAAATTCAGAAAAACTATCAGGGGAAATAAAGACCTGCAGTGGGAGGAAGGTTTGAACAAGGGTGGTGGTTTTAGTGGGAAAATCTGTAGGGAGTTCCACACTTCCACGAAGGTAAATTGTGATGTCTATAAAAGGTTTCCGGTTTTTAAAAAAGATAGGCAAATAGATAGATATTTCAATAGATTCATATAGAGGTGTAAAAATTTGATAATGACTCAAAAATATTTATGAAAACGAAAATATTAGCATTCATAAAACATTTATAGAACATAAATTTAATATTTTGCATTAGCTATTTTTAACATATTTATGTACCCTTTACACTGCAATTTCAAATTTAAAAGGAAATAATTACCTCAGCATAGCATCGAATCTCACATTAGATTCTGGAGTAATTGTACCATTGAAAGCGTATGGGCCATAAGTAAAGAGAATTCCTCCACTGTGAAGAATTGATCCTCCATTGGTAAACAAGCCTTGTGTACATTTTAATGGTGTAATGTGTATCATATTGATGTTCACAATGTAGTCCTGGAAATAAAGTAATACATTCTACAAGAGAAATTACCATCTAGTCATTAAAAAATAATTATATTACTCCAATGGTGTTTAACTGATTATCATTCACATTAAAATTACAATTAGTATTAAAATAAAAAAAAAAATTGGCAACTAGCAAACAGTAATAATAGCATGATTGGCATAAAACGCAAACATTTACACACTTAGTAAAGGGACATTTTATAAACAAAGGATGCCTTACATATGTATCTTTACCTCAAACTGATAATTATTAAGGAAAAGTATGAATTGAAATTGTGTCAATTCAGCAATATTTTAATTTTTAATTGGCCTAAAATCAATAACTTTCTCTTAATTATCAAAGGAATTTGACAACTTGTAAACATAAGAATAAAACTGTTATGAACCTTGACTTATAGTTTAAAATCCAAGATCTTGGAACACATTAGGAATAATTGATGGCTAGTAGTTATTAATAGAAGCTAGCAACAAGCTATCTCATATATGCTGACTGTCCTAAAAGAACAGTGACCCAAAATACCTTGAATAGAGAATTTCTTTAAAAATTCCTTTTTTTGTGTGTTTAATTGAATTTATATCTAGTATTATGTTCCCATTCATGCAAGGCACACAGTCCTAAAAAACAGGCTTTTTAAAAAAGATTCAAGCATTTACATGCAAAAATAGTGGTGCCACTAAAACACATATTTTGTGTTATTCTAACTGTTACATAATATTATAATACTAGTTAAACCTGCAAAACTGTTTCCAACCTTTATAATTATCTAGAAGCACTGGGATGCAAACCTACAAAGTATTTAGGTTTTGCATGTGGCCTCTTAACTCCCGATGTAACATCTCTGAAGCCAGAATTAAAGTACTGGTGAAAGTGGTTCACTTTTATGTTGCAGAAAAAAGTTAAGAATTAAATTCTTATGTGTGACATTTTTATACAAGTACATTGCTATAATCGAGAAAAAAATTAAGAAAACATTTGGAGCTATTTTTAAGACAATTTCAAAAATGCTTTTGGGAGCTTCCAGTAAAGTACCTCAAAAATTACAACATTCATTTTGAATTCAAGAGGCCATAGCATCAGCCGCATCAATAGGTAGTAAGGTTGGTGGATGGATCTTACAAATGAACGAGGTTGGAAAAGACAAATAGAGACGGGCAGAAATTTGGTTGAAAACCAATTTTTCAATATCAAGGACCGACGAAATGCAGATTTTGACCTCCATCACATTAAATAATGTAATTTACCACACATAGGAGCATGAAAAATCCTGTTATTCAGTACAAAGTACTAAATTCAGTATAAAGTACCACATTTCATATTCTTTGATATTATCATAAGTTAATATAATTCAAATCAAGTTTTTCTCTAGAAAATCTACAATATTAAAATATATTATGCTACGTAGAAGTAAATGTTTTAGTTGTGGCACACGAGAAAGTAAAAATTAAACTGTAATATAACCTACCGCATTTGCTCGTGTATAAGCGGTACTTTTTCCCCCGAAAAGTAACTCATGAAATAGGGTGCAGCCTATTCACGAGATTTTTCTAAAAAAAGAGAATCATTGGAAGAAGAACAAAATTTTATCACGCAAATAACATTTATTTTTTCCCAAATGTAAGTAGTACACATACTAAAGTTAAATTTCATCATTTCCATCGCTCTCGGATTCAGTCACATCACTCGTGATTCGTTGTCACTTTCAAAATCGTTGGAAACGTTCCATAAAGATGTGTTTACATTGCGCGAGCGAACGCTTCCGAACGAACAATTCTTCGTTCGCTCGGACGGTGGAAACGAATATCCGAGCGAATCGTGAATTCGGACGAGATCGGTTGGCGGAAGCGAGCGAACGTTCGCTCGGCACGTTCGTACCGTCCGAAACAAATTCAACTCCGCCGCCTCCTTTAGCAAACCCTTGCCAACCTTTTCCATCCACACCCCCCCATCCCTTCCCATCCT